CCCATCCATCCATTTATCCATCTATCCATCCACCAATCCCTCCTCCAATCCATGTATCAATTCATCAACCCACCTATCTATCCATCCAGCCATCCATCCACCAATCCATCCTCCAATCCATTCATCCATCCATCTACCAATCCATTTATCCACCAATTCATCCATCCATCCACCCATCCATCCATCCATCCATCCATCCATCTCTCATCTTCTACATGAGAAAGAAAACTCTTGTTTTTGAAGACTACCAGTGAGTTAGTATTGAAATGTGTTTTTGAATGTGAATTGAATGTTAAATGAGCATAACTGGTTCTTTGGGAAAGCTCCGTTTTCAAACCTGGCCTAACCAATTGTTTTGTTTTGAGGCATTTTTTGTGTCCAAAAGCATCTTGGTGTTCACTTCTCAATAATGGCTCCTTTCAAATTAAAATGATCCTTAGGGACCCAGAATAATAAACATTTAATTATTTCAGTTACACTGACTGGTGAATGGGCTCTGAAATCATAACGAAGCGTGTTTATTATTATATTAAATTACTCCAGATTGAACTGATTTGATCTTCATATTGGCATGGTGTCAGAACTTCTCGGCTATGAGCTAAAAGCGAGCATAAAATAAAACACTTTAATAAGAGAGAGAACTTGTTTGCCATTGATTGGCTGAAATGAGGAGAACAGGAAGTAGAGACAACACATTGTTATAGAAGCTAGTCATGTTCTGCTCCACATCCTGTGTCTTTTATACCAGAGTCTGATGGCTTAGCAGCAACTTGTTTTTGACCACATCAATGTCACATTTGTAATCACAGTAAGAGCAACTATTTAATTTTCTCAACCCCCCCCCCCCCCCACACACACACACACACACTATTTGCACCCTGCATTCCAATACGTTTTGTTTCACATGGATTAGTTGTGTAGGGTATGGGCTTTTGTTAAAAATATAAATAGCTTTTATCATTTTCTCCACTTTAAATAAAAAATACACAGAATACAGTATGATTGTTGTAATCAGGTCTCTCTTGTAAATGAGTCCTCGAGGCTCAATGGGATTTACCCGTCTAAATAAAGGTTGAATGAATGAAAATTGTTGTGTTTTGGATGACATAATGATATCACTGTCCTTTTGCAGGAGCTTTTAAGTCACTCAACAGACCGACCTGAGAGGCAACAGCTCAAAGAAGCTTTGGAGGCCATGCAGGTTGGTGCCTTTAGAAAAAAAAAAAATACTTAAGAACTCTTGAGTTATTAAATATAAATATGTTGTGTTTATAAAGATTGTGACTTGCAAACCATGTTTGCTTCACGCTTTCAGGACCTGGCCATGTACATCAATGAGGTCAAGAGGGACAACGAGACGCTGAAAAAAATCAGTGAATTCCAAAGTTCGATAGAAAATCTTGTATGTATTATGAGTTTCTCTGTCACCCCCCCCCCCCCCCAACTAGTTTCAATTAATGTCTTAATAGGTCATTTGAGATAATTTTTGTCTGAAGTGGTGATGGACAGGTAGACAGATGAGGTCAGACAGGAGTCCCCATTGACAGTGATCTATAGTGAGAGTAGGGAGCAGGTGGAAGAGAGCCTGGAGAGGTTGAGTGGTAGAGGAAGATGCCGTGGATAGGGTGAGATGGGGGTTCATTCTCAGTTTCTGATAGATAAAGTTGCAGAATGCAATAGATTGACGTTGAATGTTTTTATGACCGAAGCAGCCGGTGAAACTGGAGGAATTTGGCCGACCAAAGATTGACGGAGAGCTCAAGGTGTGCTCCATTGTCAACAGAACAAAACAAGACCGGTGAGTCCGTTTAGGTAGGAATATAAACCTAAATTATTTGCAGCATTTTGTCAGATCTGAATGGTTTTTTTCTGTGTCCTCAGGTATATTTTCCTGTTTGATAAAGTGGTCATTGTGTGCAAGAGGAGAGGCTATAGCTACGAGCTAAAAGAGATTATCGAACTGCAATCGTATAAAATGTCAGATGACCTCATGAACAACAGAGACATGAAAAAGGTAAAGTGCCTTGCTTGTGTTTGGCTCAAAATGGGACTGAGGAGAACCGTTTCTTCCACTGTGAAGTCCCTGTGAGGGTAGCTCTGCCACTGTACAGGATTAAATAGCCTGTACCGTCATTAGAAATGTTGCCCTTGAGCTGAAGGATCTTGTTGATGGTAATTCCAAATTCAGAATGTATGCATTGAAGTGCCAAACGTGCGTTGTGCTCGTCCGTGCTTCAGAGACGGTGTAAATGCAAGAAATGTCATTTAGGATTCATGAAACCATAGTGCAGTTACTGTGCCACCAGTCTAACCTGGCTCCTCTGTTTTGAATCTGCATGTGTTATCCATGTTTGCATGTGTAATGGGGTCTTTCTCTGGTGTCTTTTTTTTGTTTTGCATGCTTACCAGTCGAGTGGAAAAATGGTAAGCCCAAGTGACCCCTTAATTTACCTCATCTTCTCATTGAGGCTTTTTCCTTGGATGTGGTGTTCTTTGGGTGTCATGCTGTGATTGTACATATAGCTTGCAGCTCCATCTGGCTCTGCAGACTTTTGCTCAGATGCATTATAAAGCATGCAGTGATCGTTTTGAGTTTTGAACTGAATGTGGTTTTACTCAGAGTGCCAAAACTCATTAAAGTGCTGTTATCACAAGCTTCTGTTCACGTATCTCTCTCTGTCACTGTTATCTCTTCTACAATCCTTTAGTGGTCTTATGGTTTTTACCTGATCCATCTGCAAGGGAAGCAAGGCTACCAGTTCTTTTGTAAAACTGAGGAAACAAAGAGGAAGTGGATGGAGCAGTTTGAAATGGCCATGTAAGTATGATTACTTTTAGGAAGTCTACTTTTAGGGAAGTAATACAGTTAAATTGCAGCAAAGAGCTTTTCTGGAAATCCAAATGAAAACATATTTAAATACGTTGTGGGCTGTGGTCAGTCTTACATCGGGGAAACCAAACCGCTACTAGCCGAAAGGATGGCCCAGCACAGAAGAGCAACATCATCAGGCCAGGACTCTGCGGTCTACACTCATCTGCAGGCCAGAGGTCACTATTTCAGGGATGAATATGTTCACATCCTGGATAGAGAGGAACGATAATTTGAGAGAGGAGGGAAGGAGGCCATCTTTGTGAAGAGAAACCGTCCATCATTAAACAGTGTCCAACTGTCACCTTCGTACAATCAGAATCAACCTTTATTGTCATTGCACAGGAGCACAATGAAATTACATTTCGGTTCAGCCGTCCGTAGACGGGGATGCCTGAGACTGCAGCCGCATGTGACGCTCTGCCCAACACTGCTGTTATTGCAGTGTTTATCCTACCGTTATACAAGCAGGGCACCCCGTCCTGTCAGCAGAACCAAGCGCCCTGTCTACCAAACCCGAACTCCACCCCCCGGCACTGACATAACGCTAAGCTAGCAGCGCCCAATACAGGCGCGGTAGCTAAAATGCTACTAAAGGGCTCACGCTACCTCTTCCCTCATGCTGAACCCCCACCCCCACTCAAAAACTGTTGGTACAAACAACGCGCAGCTCAGACATGTCCCCCCCCCCTCGACAATAATCACAGACGAGAACGCCCTGCCATGGCAAGTTATCTAGGAGGAAACACTATTGCTAGCATCACTCAGCCCTCTGTGAACAGCAAGCGGCCATCAGGGCACTAACGATCTGTCGTTAAGCTGATGGTCCTCCTTCATCATGTGAACTTCTAGTTCTGGACGTCACCAACAAACTGGTTGATCCACTATGAGAAGTTGCTATTTATAAGACTGAGTTTGCTGCAGCTCCTCAGGCTGAAGAAGTCTTCTGGATAAAAGACGAAACGTTTCAGCTTTGTTAGATTTTTCTACCTGGATTATTGAGCAGCATCGTGATATTTAAACGCTCGTTAAATGTCTCGTCGTTTGTAGCTGAAGTGAGACAGTCAACTCTTTTTGTTTAGGTCCAACATCAAGCCAGAGAGAGCGACCGCCAACCAGCACAACTTCCAGATGCACACGTTTGAAAAGAACACCAACTGTCGAGCCTGCAAGATGCTCTTAAGGTAAAGACATGAAACACATCCTGTGCTCGTTTGTTCAGCTTCTAATAGCTGTTGTGTTTGAGTATTCCAGGGAGCATGAACGATTGTCTACACTTTGTTGTTTCAATGTGCTCACAGATGAGCTTAAGGCTTTATGGAGTCTTGTTTCTACAAACGTTGCCACTTCCAAAAGCCTTTTTCTTTAGCTTAGCCTGGAATCAAGGGAAAACGTGGAGCCGTGCACCATCCAGTGGTGACGAAATCTGCAGCCTTTTCTTTTATCGGTGACCTCTAGATGTTCTGGTAAATAAAGTGACTCTTGTTTGTGCTAGAAGAGTGCACCCCCTTTCATTAGGAGAAAACTAATCGACAGTAATGCAAAATGTCTAAGTATCAATTTAAATAATACTGATTGGTTTGTTACTGTATTTTTAATAATACACTGAATTCAGCTTTTTAATGTCAAGCAGAGCTTGATGACTTATTCTAAACAACAAACTAAACAGAATTTTTCTGTTGGAACCAATTTACAAAATTAAAAACAATTCATTCCATAACCCAACCTCATCACTGACAGCTTTGCGTCCCACGGTTATTTACATTTTAGGATTAGGTGCAAGCACAAATAATAGCAGCACTTCTGGCTTGGAAATCATCATTTTTATTGGGATTATTGTGTAATATGAAAGTGTACGTTCATTAAACAGAATTAGAACAAAGTGCTGCAAATTTTAAGATTAAATTTGCTTTAAGTTGTCATCAAATCTCAGTCTTGGCTCTGCTCAGGCTAACCGTAAATTTGTTGTTCTACTCAGAATTTAAGTCTATTTCTCCAAACGGATGCTGTTCAAAGAGTTACTGACGACAGATGTCAATCATTCTGACCTCTACTTCCACAGATCTGAACCGTGTCTTTAAGTAGATGTTATTTTGTAGTAAGTGATTAAATCTTGTATTAATTTAATGTTATATAAAGGTAAAAAAAAAATGTATATACAAAGGCCTAAAGATGTAAAAAACTGAAAAGTGATGCAGATATTATTTAGCAGCTTGTTTATTTTGTCTAAAATACTCCAACTTTATCAGTCTTTAATGTGACTGATACGTTTCTGCTTCCCTCTCACGTTGGACAATTGCTCGACTGCAGCGGGGATAACCCGCCGCCGCCGCCACGGATCACCTCTATTACAGTAAGCCGGCTCGGCTCCACTCTGTGTACTGACCCGCATGTTCCACAGCTCTGCTGACCTAAATTCACAGAGCCAGTGGAGGCAGGGACTGGCGAGCTAGATGCTAATTAGCGCTGCGTCCTCTGTGGAGCTCGTCGTGATTTATGGGGCCTGCTATTCCACGTGGCAGCGTGCTCTGCCTGCACCGGCCACAACAAACCCACCTCTGGACCGCACCGGCTTAAACGAAGCAAATTAAATTTGGGGTTTGAACGTATTAATCGGTAAAAATGATAAAAGGTTTGCAGCCACGTTTAGAGATTGTAAGAACAAGCAGTGTTTTGTTCTTCCAGGATGTTAATGTGCGTCTGAGACACTTCCTGTTTGCATTACCGCTCTCTCTCTCTGTGTGTGTGTGTGTGTGTGTGTGTGTGTGTGTGTTTTCTCCAGGGGTATTTTCTATCAGGGCTACTACTGCTCTCGCTGTGGGACAGGAGCTCACAAAGAGTGTCTGGAAGTGATCACCATCTGTAAAATCAGTAGGTGTTTCCTTTGTAGAACGACGTGTCGTCCGCAAAGTGTTTGAGTTCAGGGAGTGCAGCTACGAGTTTAGACCCAAACATGAGTGCACACAGATTTACAGGCTGCGTTCATCTCAGGACGCTTCAGACAGCAAGGACATTTGGTTTATTTTGGGGTTTGTAATTTGAAAGAAAATAAAGAAAATGGGGAGACTTTTATTTTGTATTTGGCATTTTTAATGTTTTTTTTTTTTTTAGATGCGTACAACTTTTCACTTTGTAACTTTTGAAGATGAAACAGCTGCTGTTTTTGACCCACCCTGACAAATTTGATGCAATAAAATAAACAAGTTGTGTAATGTTTTATGGAAACTGTGCAGGTAAAACTCGCATTCACGTATTCTTAAATTAAACAAATGTTGTTAAAATCATTTTTTAAAGCTCCAGATGATATTCCACAGGCTTCATCACGGTCTATTTAAAAACAAATTATATTTTCTCTTATTGAATTCTGTCACCTACAGCTGAGTCTGAGTGAGGCAGAGATTTTTTTATTTTGAAATTTCAGTTTAAATGGGTAAATTTAAAGAACTCTTCATTTTTATTTGCTTTTATGATGAAACACCACCACAACTACAAAAAAAAAACACCACCTCAAAGTGTCCCACCATCTTTTTTCTGCCATTGTAGTTTATTTTGAAAGAATTATAAAGCGTAAACTATGATCCCGGGTGAGCTGCTGTCGAAATACAGTAGTAAACCGCAAAGTAGGAATAAGAGTACAATTAGTAAGTAGTAGTTTATTTTATTATTTTTCTAAATACATTATATATATATCTATATATATATAGATATATAGATATATAAAAGGCCTTTTAAACCCTTCCCACTCTCTTGCAATATTCTAAACAATGTTTCTAAACTCTAAATGCTGTAAAAGACACAAAATGTCATGATTTCAGCTCTGCCTCCTCTGCTCTTTGCAAACTGCAAGTGCTCTTGGCCACGCCCACTTCTCTATTCTGCATGGTGAACAGCTGATCAGCTGCAGCAGGGAGTTTCTCCTGCAGTGTGGGCTGCACAAAGGTGCAGCAGGTGCTAAATCGTTTAAAATAATTTATTGTAAATAAAAATTCCATGCCGATCGTGCGGCTCATCCATCAATCAGCCAACTGTGTGTCATATCCAATCTTATTTTGAAAATCTGCGATGGAGCGAGTCTGCGATAAATGAACCACGAAGTATCGAGGGACCGCTGTACGTGCATTCCACACTGCGTAGATCCATGTGAATATTAAAAAAGATTTCCAGACAAATTCAATTAAAATGTATTTTATTTTATTTTTGCTTTAACGGTCCGTCCCATGTCTGAGTCTAAACTCTGACTCTTTAGTGTTAAAAGATCTTCAAATACTGAACTTTAATCTGACGACTCTTGAGCTCGTAGAGCTAAAAGCATCGATTTGAGACTGAATTAGAGGAAATTAAGACCAAACTGTTTATACATTTGCCCTCAGCTATAATCCATTCAGAAATAGTCTTTACATTAAAATCTTTCTCTGGAGATTTAACGTCAGTTTTCTGTGTTTTTGTGTCTTGTTTCAGATCCACTGGATCTGGTGAGTAGATCTGTCCAGCAACGTTCATGATGCCTTAACCAACAGATGTAATCTGATTACTTGTGTTGTTTTTTACAGGAGCCTGGATTGTCACCCGGTAAGAACACTAAAACTTTAAGATGGTTCCAGATTTTCTGTCAGATTATTTTTATTTTTTATTAATGTATTTATTTAATGGTCTGCAGCAGCGGTGGGAGAAGAACAACTCTCTCCTGCCATCTAGTGGATACATCTGATTTGACACTAAGAGCTTAGTGCATAGAATGTTAAAGATAAATATTTGGTGTTGAGAAAATGAGCAACGCCAAAGAGAAACTGGGTAATATTTTTGCTTTTAGTCGGATTATTAGAATTAAAGGTTAACTTGCAAGAAAAAAATCAGAAAACCCAGTTTGTCTTTGATGTTTTTTATGTCTAAGACTTCTATATCTTCAGATTGATAGGAGCAAAATGACCCTTTTTACCAAACAAGCTGTTGCTCCTTCTTACCTCTGCAAACTGTGCTTCCAGGACCAAAGATGGTGGCGGTGAGGAACTACCACGGCACACAAATACCTCCAGGAAAGACGCCTCTCTGTTTCCAAACGGGAGACGTTATCGAGCTGCTAAAGGGAGATCCAGACTCCCCGTGGTGGGAGGTATCGTAGTCGCCTCCAGTGACGTTATAATTTGAATAGAAGAAGTCTGAAAAGATTCTGTAGCTTTTACACTGTGCTTAAAATCCAGAATCCAGCCTGCAGCACCTCCAAAGCTCATTATCACATTTGTTGTATCCCGAAGTCGAGTTGTTTTTGTGAGGATGCCAAGCCACAGGAAGTCATTAGCATGCACAAGAAGCATCAAATAAAACCCAAGCTTGTGGTTTCATGTCTTCAGATTGTGTGCAGATTAAAGTGAGAGGACATAACCGAGATAAAAACTGGCTGGGACGGGAATTAGACTAAAATAGTTCCGTGTTTTTATCACCTGCTGTCAAAGACAACAGGGCAGCGATAATGTCTTTGTCCATGTGTTTGTACTGTCAGCAAAATATCCCAGAAACACTGAACAGATTTTAGAAGAAAACTTGCAGAAAGCGGTCACTAAAGTTACTAGAGCCCGGCCGAAGTGGAAATTTTGACTGTTGTTGATACCGATGTTGGGAGGGGTAGGCGACTCTCTTCAGGTCGAGGGTGAGGTTCTGCCTCAAGTGGAGGAGTTCAAGTATCTCGGGGTTAGAGTCACGATCGAGGGAAGAATGGAGCGTGAGATTGACAGTCAGATTGATGCCGTGTCTGCAGGATTGTGGACTGAGACACGTCTGTGTTGTGAGTTGTTTGTACCAAAAGTTTGTCACGGCTCAGCGTGAAGGACTAGGAGCGCTACTTCTAGCATTTTAGCTAGTGCATCTGTACTGCACGCTGCTAGCTTAGCTCTAAGTCAGTGCTGGCAGTTGTCGACGGGCGGGGGTGGGGGCGGGGGGTCAGTTTGATAGGCAGGGTGAGGCGCCCTGAATTGTATAATGCTAGGTATGCATAAGTGGTTAAATATATAGCAGTATAATGGTATATAATTTTATAAGTGCTTGTACTGGTCGATAATGGGACCCTTATTGCGATACTGATATTTCCATAGATGCCTATATCAGCCAGAATTATCGACCCTACCGATATATCAGCCAGGCTCTAAAATTTACATCTGCAAACGATCAAATAGCTGTTCCTCAGCCAATGTTAGATATTAATAAAATAAAATAAAAGTTGCTGTCACATGAAGCAAACCGGTTTCTGGTCAGATTTATTTTATAATAATAAAGTCTGATTTTTAAAATGTCAGGAATGACAATACTCCATGTCTTACAGCAAGTTGCAGACTTCATTAGCGATGTGATTGTTTTCTACTTAAATATTACCTGCAGACCTGCACTGTTATAAATGATTAGTGTGCATGTGACACTAGTCGCTGCGGGGTCTTTGTGCTGAATCGTTGACATTTAGTAGCACTATCGTGGCTGGATCCTCTCAGAGTGACTTAAGGCAACTTTCTAATGCCGTATATTTATCTTAGCTATTCCACTCGGTTGTCCCTCGACGGAGCAGCAGTTTAATCTCTCTGCGATGTCAAAGGGCGCGCTGTGCACAGAATCAACGGCTTCAGGCTGCAGACATTGAGGCTGAAGCTGAGGAGTCATCTGGACAGATGTGCTCCTCTCTTTTTTTTTATATAAACCATCATCACACATTAGTATGAAGTTGGAGCAAGTTGAATCTTTTTAGCTGCTGCTGTTTTACTGTCATTTTTTTTTTTTTTTAAATAATGCAAAAGCTGCTGCTTCTATAGTTTTCCACAGTTTCATGTAGTACCACGAGAGGGCGCCAAAGCGCCACGGTTATATCCAAAAATTGCAGCTTTCTCATGGATTAAAACAACACATCATAATACCATTAATTAATTTAACTTATTTATCATTTCACATAGAAGCATTTTTTTTTGGCCACAGCTGTAGCTCCACTGAGTTCTCATGTCTTTTCATTCCAGGGGAAGCTGATCCAGACACAAAAGAGTGGCTTCTTCCCCAGCTCGTGTGTAAAGCCTTGCTTGGACCCAAAGGTCGGTTCTCCACACGCAGCAGAAGTGCATTTATGAAAGTTTGCTTTACCTCGAAGGCTTTTTTTTCCCCACTGGCCAGTGAAGGCAACAGTGTTTATGCCCCAGTCTGTTCGTGTGGGATAATTGGTATTTAGCGTTCGCAAAATATCTCATGAGCCAGTGGGCAAATTTGAACGAAGTTCTGAGAATGCAATCACTGGATGATGATCTACAACTGATCAGCTACTGGAGTCAACCATTTTCAAAATGGCCGCCACGGTTAAGCAATATTGACAATAACAGCCAGTTCTGTGTATATTAAGCTAATATTTACTGTGGTAGTAGCTGTGAATCATCATCAAAAGATATTCAGCTGTTTTGCTACCATCAACCCTGCTTGTCTGTTAGCAAAATATCTCTTGAACTACGTGACAGATTTTAATGAAACTTTCAGAAAGTCATCATTAGATGCACGTCAACAGCTGATTGAATTTTGGAGTCATCCTGGTTTAAGCTGCAGCAGCAACTAACTGACCTTATCTAGCGCCGATGTGGCTATAGCTCTGTCAGTTTTGCAGACATCAAGCTAAAATTTGGCGAGGTAGTGCCTGAGAGTCATCCTCAACACATACTTGAAGTGCGAACAGATCACCTGAGGTTTGCCAATGCTGCATGAAAACCTGCTAACATTAATTACAAGGTTCATGAAAAAATCCTATAAGGGCATGCAAAGAGTGTTGCACCTTAATTATTATTATTATTTTGTTCAGTCGTTTCATTTTACCGTCTGCGAGGTAAGCAAATCCTCTCCAAATTAAAAGTTTTAACGCAGTGATGTGTGTGTTGTCTGTGACAGCCCTTCCAGTCATTGACCAGCCGGCAGTCCTCACGGGAGTCAGACTACTTTGGATATCCTTGGTAAGACTAAAGCGTCCGAGCGCAGCGCTGCCATTAACCCAAGGTTACCGTCCTGTAATTAGCTTAGTGTTCATCGCACTTAATGCACTGGTTTGATTTAAAGCAGGCCGAGCCTCGAGGAAAAGATTAAAGCCAACACGGTTGTTTTATGTTGCGTATTTACGAAGCTCTTAACTGGGGTGTTCTAGTCTTGGAGGTCAGAGCTTTAATTTGCCATTTTCTCTGAAGGTTTGCAGGCAACATGGAGCGCCAGCAGGCGGACAACCTTTTAAAGTCCCACTGCAGCGGGACGTACCTTATCAGGGAGAGGACAGCCGAGGCGGAGAGGTTCGCCATCAGCATCAAGTGAGTCTTTCGTGTTAGGATGGGAAAATGTCATGAAAAGCTAACACACACACACATATATATATATCTATATATATATCTATATATAGATATATATAGATAGATAGATAGATAGATTGATAGATTGATAGATAGATAGATAGATGATAGATAGATAGATAGATGATAGATAGATAGATGATAGATAGATAGATAGATAGATGATAGATAGATAGATAGATGATAGATAGATAGATAGATAGATGATAGATAGATGATAGATAGATGTGTGTAAATATACATGAGGTTTCAAACCGAACCCAGGACCTTCTTGCCGTGAAGCAACAGTGTTAACCATTGAACCGTCATGCTGCCTGTGTATATCAGTATATATATATTCTGTGTGTACATGTATATATATATATTTATATATATGTATACATATTTTTATGTACGGTATATGTGTATATACTGTCATAGGATTTTTTTTGATTTTTTTTTAATCACATAAAACTTCAGGCAGCTTTAGCAGAGCATCTTTTAATTACCACTTAGTAATTTCCTTTTTTTTAATTCAGTCTTTTTTTTTGTGCCTCTTCTCTGAAAGAGTGAATCCCAAAGATAAATCGTGTTCTCGCTCATACTGGAGCTGTCGTTTTGTGATGAATTGGGAGAAGGAGTGCGTTTGCACATTTGCATTCAAAGCTTCCACACAGGTGCAAAAGCTCTATAGGGACCAACCTCTTCTGCAAAGTAAACAAATCTGACAGTTTTAACTTGAAACATTTTTTTTAAAGGGCTTTATTTTAGTCCAGTTCATAATATGTACAAAATATACCTTTGCACAGCTGGGACACATTACTCTAAAAGCAAACAGGAATAAAAGCTCAACATTTTGTGTCAGTAACCTACAAAACATCCTTTTTTATATATATAAATCACTTTTTCATCTCTTGGTTTGGTTTTCCAGATTTAATGAGGAGGTAAAACACATAAAAGTCACAGAAAAGGACAACTGGATTCACATCACCGAAGCAAAGAAGTTTGAGAGTCTTCTGGTGAGACGACAACTTTACTGAACTGCTGAAACAAAGAGCTGAAATGTTTGTTTCCAAGCTGACACTTGATGCTGTATGCTGCAACAGGAGCTGGTGGAGTACTATCAGTCCCATTCGCTGAAGGAAAGCTTCAAGCTGCTAGATACCACGTTAAGGTATCCCTACAAGACGAGAGAACGTTTGCTAAGTCGGACGAGTACGCGCTCACCAGGTAAACGTCTCTGATGGCTTCCATCTGTTTCTGTTAAAAACACCAGCTGATACAGTTGGCATCAAATTATGAGACATATTCTTTGTCATTGACTCCCAAAATACACCAAATAATTTAAGGACAAAATGTTTAAGAAAAACAATGATACACATCAGATATACTTAAAAAAACAAAAAAAAAACATGGCAAACAGGAATTGTTTGAAAAGACTTGACACCTGCGTAAAGAATTTACTCTAATTTACATTAATTCATTTACAATCCTTGTCTCCTTTTACTTGTGCTAACAGTTCGTTGGTTTATTATGCTCCATACCTTGTTTCTTGCTTTTGGAGTATTTCTGTGGCAGCACTACAGCGCCACTTACAGGCCTGGCATATTAACTACAGCATTTTGAGTTCTCTGTGCTGAAAACGGTGAGACTACGGGTGCATTCACACCAGTCCTGTTTAATCCGCTTTAATCGAACTCTATTCCGTTTATGTAGAAAGTCCGGTTTGTTTGGGGAGGTGTGAATGCGCAATCAATCTCTGATAAGGACCAACAAAGCGAACTCTGGTCCCCCTAAAAACCTAGTTTTCGGTTCGGTTGGAGTGAACTTTAGCGCGGTTCGAATGCAGTGGGAATGCAAGCGGACCGGAGACCGCTCCAAAAGCAGGAAGTGGACTACAGCGCAGGGCAAACAAAACGTGCATTTCTCTTACTTCATACGTCAGCTGCCTTGTGTGAAAAACAACATTCTCCATGGTCTTCTGCCTCATCTTCCGCTCACGCTGAGTCCATTGTCGAAAAATGTTTGACACATGAGCCACAGACAAAACGGAAATCCTAAAACTGCTCAAATTTGACTCCACTCAATTTGTTTTTATTTCCAGAAGAAGAAGAAGAAGAAGAAGTGTCTTCTTTAGAGGTTTTTGTGTTGTTTCCTTCAGTAGTTCTTGGTGCAGCGCCACCACAGGTGAGGGGGAGGGAACAGTTTGGCTCGATTGACTCAGTGCAGTGTGAATGAGAACCACTCCAGCTGAAAATTTAAACAAATGTTCTGAATTCTGGTCCCCAATTGAACCGAGTCTACCGGACTATCAGGTTTGAAAACACCCTACAACTAAAAGGACAGACCACTTCTTCAAGGACAACATTCATGCTGGAGAATTCACAGCAGATTTTTATTTTGACTTCCAAATCCCTCACTAGAACTGGACGATAAATCCAAAAGGTGATACATTTACCAGTAAATATGCCTCCTTGGTTGATCTGCTGCCTTATGAACTGGCTCTTAAGTCTAACTTAAGTCCACGCCCACCTGCTGTGTGGGCCCCACCCCAAGTTCAAAAATGGTATCTGCAATATTGTAGGACTTCTCTCGGTCCTCTGGTGGGAGATCCAGCTCCTTAGTTTTTTTTTTTTTTATGCTGAAAACTAGCAAGCCCATATTGTTGGTCACTGCAACAGTCTGAGACGTGCACTGGTGCACTCGGTCAGTCTGGCTGTGAGCTGATCGTTGGGGGACGAGGGAACGGGCCATAGTTCAACGTTCTGGGCCGCGAAGGTGATTCCTTCTACCTTCATGATGGTGGGTGATTGGTGGGCACAGGCGCCCTCAGCTTCAATGGATTGGCTGCTGCTCCAGATAGGTACGTCGTCACGGCTGGGAACCGAGGCCAGATTGGGTCTCAGTGGCCAGAGTGTAGGGTGGCAAATTTTCCCGCCAAGTACTCTGGAGGCAGCAGAGCCAGCGGCTCTGGCACAGTCAGACCTTTAGCGTTCGCCACCCTCTGGATGATTTCGGACAAAGTATGTACAAGAGCACCGATCGCTGGGAGGAGCGTTGTCACTGACATTGAGATGCCTGAGTGTCCACTTCTCGAAGGCAGCTCTGTCTTCAGCCTGCCTGTCTGGGAGGAGTGGTGCTAAGCTGCTAACTGACTCCTCGTCGGTGGCGGAAACGTCCAAATCCTGCTCCGCGTTGAAAAAATTAAGGGCCTTATCCAGCGGGTATCTCTCTGGAAGCAAGAAATACTCTTCACCTGAAGCAAAGATGGCTGCCTGGTGTTGCTTCTCCTCAATCGGGAAAAGCTTGCAGGACGGGCAGGAAGCCTGCGGTGTCAAGGGTTGACCTGCGTGTTCTGCTCCGAGGCATTCTTCGCAGAGGGCGTGCAGGTCAGAGCTGAAGATGTACCCCGTCCTGCAGGCTGGACACAGGCGCTGCACATCTTTTGTTCTTTAGGTTAGTTTTCTTAAGTGCTTGCTGTCTGAAGAAAAAAAGGGCTCGATCCCCGGTCTCAGAGCAATTTATACAGACCGGGGTGGAGCCCACCCAGCAGGTGGGCGTGGACTGGAGTTTTCAGTACTGTGCTGTGTGCAAGGGGTAAACCCACTAGCGATATCCTTAAAGGGTTGCACTTATACTCAAAGAATCTGGGGTTACAGTATGCAACCAACGATTTGGACAAATGATAGAGAAATAGATGTTTGGATGTTTTTGTGCACAAAGAGTCCACACTGTCCTTGTATGAAATCATTAATTCGACTTTAAAATGATTGTTTGCTTGTGCAGACTAAAAATTCAATCTTCAATCATCACGGCTGTGAATAATAGAACGGTATGGTAAAATATAAGACTACCTCCTACTTTGTTTGTCTTTGCTAGTCTGTTCTGGAGTAATGTGTGAAGGAATCGAGAGAGGCCAGAGGGGAGCAGAACAGCACAGCAGTTAAATGAGACAGAGGGCTAAAGGAAGGAAGGCAGCTGAACTCAGAGGATTGTGGAGCCGGCTGCCCTCTCTGTTCATTAGACTGTGTGAATACTGGCCGTCTCTCTGCACTGCTGTCTTTGTTCCATCTGCTTGCTGTTTCCCTATTGCTTTGGCTTTATTTGGAGGAAAAAGATCTTGAGCTTGACCGTGCACAGCATGGTATTCTTACAGCTGTTATGATGGAAGCAGCTGTGATCTCTGTAAAAATTAGCAAACACCAGAATCTATCATCTTGTTCGCAAGTGGGTTTGTTTGAGGCTGGCAGTACCAATGGTCGGTGAAATCTGCTTCTTATTTTTACCTCTGAAAGCTCATTTGTTGACCTCATTAAATTGTACCGAGATCTGAGTTACAATGTGAGATTACAAAAAGATTAATGGCCACATCAGGTTGTCTGAAACTTTAGCTGCCAAAAGAAAACCCTAAAAAAAACATGCCGAACACTTGTTTATTGTGCAAAAACTTACAGAAACTAAAACAGATTCTTGGTTTTTGCAGGTTGGTTTGGACCATTCTTTACATTATCTTTTAAAAATAAGTATTCTTGCAATAAAGAAGAAAGAGAGACATAAATTAAGCATATTACAATGCCAAACTGACACCTATATTGCACGCCATAAAAGGCAAAGGTGATTGATATTTAAAGGTGGTGTGTGTTTAACAAACTTTCTTATGAACCAGTAAACAAATTTTAAATAACTTTTGGAGCCAACCTATTCATGAGGGATACCACCAACTAACCTTATAAAAGACAAAAAACATGTAACTGTTAATTCTACTGATACCAGGTTGAAACTCTTGAGTGGTAGTCGCTGAGAGTCATTCACAACATGTACTCTGAGAGTGACCTTTTACAATGACGCATGAGCTCATGCATAATATGTTCAAGGTTTTACCAAAACGGCAACTCTTTATTTCTTAACATAAACTACTATATTAGTCTTAAACTCTATGGCATGAAAGGAGGCGGGCGATCTGCAAGAAATAAAAAAATGCTAGTCTTTTAATTGAAGTAGACCCCGGCTGATATGGAAGTTTTGTCTATCGCCGATATCAATATTGGGGGTGGGGGGTGAGGCTTGATGCCTATAACTGATATAATGACTGAAAAGTTTTGAGCTTTGTCCACCCCCAAAAAACAGCTACTTTTAAACCGGTTTTATCTCTAGAAGTCTTGAATCAGTCGTCCTAGAAGGTTTTATACCAGTGCATAATGGGCTAATTATCACCGATACCGATATGTACCCAATCGCCTATATCATCCTAAAATATCACCCCTGCCGATATATCGGCCAGGCTCTAAATTGAAGTACCCTTTTTTGGACAAATTATGTTTGGCTAATTGCTGTTTTGTAACGCTGCTGCTCTTGCTTTAGCCCTGCATGCACCTTAAACATCTCGCAGCTATATTTCCTCCATTGTTTCTTTCTCTTTTTCCTCCTCTCAGCAGCAACCTGCGCCTCATACAATTTCTCCTTCCTCAGTCCACAAGGCCTCAACTTCTCCTCTCCCCCGACTTCAGCTCCCTTCTGGTCAGGTACTGATGTCTGCCTTCTTTTCACGCTTCTGTTTGTTAGCTTGCGCCTGAGATGACCTAATAAGCATGTGTTCCCCCAGCCTCATTATTTTCTTCTTTTCATTAAGATTCCTATTTCACCCAGGATGACATTTACTCGTTCAATTAAATAAAGGAAACCAATTTTCCCTCCTAAGATGGAATCATTTGTTGTCAGTTTGTGTCTACAGCGTGTTTTGTTGATCACCTCATTCCCTCTGTATTACTCTTTGTATTACTTGTGGGCAGCTGTGGCTGAGTGGTTAGAGCAGTCATCCTCCAGAGTTGGGGGTCTGATTCCACCAGCTGTCACAAGTTGAAGCGTCCCTGGTCTAGACACTGAACCCCTCATTGCCTCCAATGTGTGTCCATCAGTGTATGAATGTTGTCTAAAGCAGTGGTTCCCAACAGTGGTCCTTGTGGAACACCATCCTGCATGTTTTAGTTGTTTCCTTGCTTTGACACAGCTTGTTTGAATGAATGGGTGATCAACAGACTTTTGCAGAACTTGAGGAAGTAATTAAATTAGGGATGCACAATATTATCAGCATGGTATTGGTATCGGCCGATATTAGCGATAACGTTAAATATCGGACATCGTCCATCCCATAAAAAAAAACTCACCGATATAAAAGGTTTCTGTTTTAAGTTAATTTTTAATTTAAGAAACTGTCAAGTATATCTATTAATGCACTACTACTTAGTGCTTGTCGCTTGTGAACAGGTTTAGATTTGTGAAAATTTACAAACTTGCACTGTTCGAGTGTTGTCGTTGTGTTAGAGAGAGTATATGTCATGAATAAATTTGACATTAAACATAAACCAAGTTGAAGTGTTACATCATTCCCAGCCCCCTTTTTGGCATCTGCATTTGGTAGCAGGTCAAACTGACAAAGACCATATAGTGTTTTAGTTCCACAGAAGAGAAAGCTATGTAGTCTCTTTAAGTAGGTCTAGGGAAAAAAAAATCGGTATTGATATCGATTATCGGCCACATAAATTTTAACATATCGGCATGTCAGATATCGGCCAAAAATCCAATATTGTGCATCCCTAAATTAAATCACTGATTCAGGTGTGTCAGAGGGGGAAACGTTCCTAAAGGACAAAGCACTGATTAGTCTCTACAGATTCAGATTAGCTTTGTAGAGATGTAGTAGAGTGCTGTGTAGATGCGTAATTGGGGGCACAGGTTGCATTGTAAAGTACTTTGAGTATCTTGACTAGATAGAAATGCGCTATAGAAGTACAGTCCATTTACCATTTACCATGTTTTACAATTGTTGTAGACACGGCCACTTATATCTTACTTGCCCTGTCAGTGTATTGTATCTTGAACTGAAAAGACTGAGCTCCCACTCATTGCATTTCCAGTGTTTACTCCTCGGGTGGTCAGCACCGCAGTGGCCCGGTATAACTTCGCAGCACGGGACATGAGAGAGCTGTCCTTGCGAGAAGGAGACATCGTCAAAATCTACAGCAAGATTGGCGGAGACCAGGGCTGGTGGAAAGGAGAGGCCAACGGGAGAGTAAGTGTGGAGAAGAAAGTCTAAGAACAGGTTGGAGTAAATTGAACAGTTAAAAAAGAAAAAGCCTGAAGCAGCACCGGGGAAGAAACGAGGGAGAACCTGGCTGCTTGGAGATATGCCCGTTCAATACTCTGGCTGTAAAACTGGATGTGATGTCAGCTTTTATTTCAGGAATGTTCCCTGTAAAGCTGTGAATTTAATCGGCATGAAGTGTTCCTGTGGAGACGCACAAAGTGGATCCACTTTTAGTTCTGCTCTTTGTTCTAACGTTGAGGGTCAAATGTGTTATAAGTTTGGCTTTATCGCACAGTTTCCACCGCTGCTTCTAACTTATTCGGGAACTTCAACAAAAAAGCTTTTAACTTTATTATTATATTTATTTTCTTTCTTTAGTTTAGTTTATTTCTCTACTCTGGTCAGAATAGTTTAATTCTGACCTAATTATGGTAACAAGCTAACAGCTAATTTGAGTAAGACCACTAAAACCAAAGTGAATCGATTTTCTTTGTTCGTCAAAACTATAAGTGTTTTGTAAATCAGTTTGTTCTACTGTTCTGTTTTAATTATCATCTTTTATCACAATTTTTATTGTATTTGTGGCCGTTTCTTTCATCTGTTCTTTTTTCTTTCTTTCATCCGTTCTTTCATTCTTTCATCCATTCTTTCTTTCGTTCTTTCTTTCTTTTGTCTGTTCTTTTTTTCATCCATTCTTTCTTTATTTCATCTGGGTTTTTTTTGTCCATTCTTTCTTTCATCCATTCTTGCTTTCTTTCATTTGTTCGTCTGTTTTTTTGTTGTTTCTTTCATTCGTCCATTCTTTCATCCATTCCTTTATTTGTTAGTCCATTCTCTCATTCACACATTATTTCTTTCTTTCTTCATAAATTGCAGCATTCGTATCATATTGTATTAATCTGATGCATCGTGGGACATCCATTACCAGAATATCGCATATTTGCCTGAATATCTCTGACTTTCTAAACTGACATTGACATAAATATATAAAATCCTGTACTTTATATGTTTTTAATGATTGAAGTTGCTCAAGGACTCGACTTTGTTCTTTCTCCACTCAAACTAGCAGTTAGCTTATCAGTCTAGTCAGATTTAAACGTTATTTCTTCAAACCAACTGGGGCTTTATTGGCTAATGGTGCATAAAATAAGTCTAACCCCATCTGTAAAGCTTCTCAAGCTGCTCTGCTGCAACTGTGCTGCTTAGAGCGTTCGAACGCACCAGATCACAGCTTGGTATGCAAACTACACTGTAGCCTCCAGAGACCCATAAATACATCACCGAAAATGATCAGCCTCCCGTTGTCCAAACTGGAAGACATCTTCAAAATCTGCTTGAAGAAAGCTGAAGCTCAGCTCTCCCTCGTCAGCTCTTTGCACTTCCACCATATGGCAGGTGCCACAAGGGCTTTCTCAGCCCACACCTTAAGGCTAGAAAGCAGCTTTTTTTTTTTTTTTTTCCCCAGAGCAGTCAACGAACTGAACTCTGATAATCATTTCCTGCTTCTGCTGTCATCACCTTCATTATTGCCAACTCGGGTCTGAACTAACTACTTATCTATACGCCACACGGCCATGTTCATGTTGGATCCCTGGAGCAGCTGTGCAGTATTTCATACAGCATTAAAGGTTTAAACATATGCTTGAGATCCATTTGGTGCAAAGAAGCTACAGGAAACTTTAATGCAAAAGCAAATTTAACACTTAGCACTTTAACAAATATACAAAGCCATTAATATGTTACATGCTATGTTTGGAAAGGGTGTTTGGGAGATAACCCACAGTGAATTGCATAACTATTGACCCCTCCTTTATATTTGTTTCATTGACCTGGAATTTAAATGATATATACAATTTTATTTTTAGTTATGGACTTGCACAAAATACCCAAGATAACTGAAGTTAAATGGAGGAAAAATATTACCTTTATAAAAATATATTAAAAGGTATACCAAACTTTAATAAAAGCATGTACACGTATATTCGCCTTCAGAGTTAACACCAGTGCAATAACTCTAAGTAGATCAGGTTAACACCAAGCAAGAGACAGAATGGAGATCAAGGTCCTCTCCACACAGGTCAGAGACAAAGTTACAGCGATGTGCAGATCAGGTTATGTTGTAAAATAAACTCAAATCCTAAACATTCAGCCACAAATAAAACTATTATTAGAAAATGGAAAGCGTATGCCACCCCTGCAAATTGGTCAAGAGATTGTCATCCACCAACCTCAAAAACCAGACAAGTAAAACATTAATCAGAGGAAACCCCAGGAGGCCAAAAATAATCCTGCTGGATCTGAACAGCTTTTGTAGAGATGGACAGGTCTGTCGACAGGACCACTGGAAGCTGCACAGAGCTGGGCTTCTTGCAAGAGTGGCGGGAAAAAGACACGGATTAAAGAAAACAAATCAAGGCAGACAGTTTGGAAATTGCCAGATCCATTATGGAGACTCCTCAATTGTGAAGAATGCGATCTGTGGTCAGATGAGACCAAACTTAAATTTTAGGCCATCAAGAACAGCATGGGGGCGGCTGTGGCTGAGTGGTTAGAGCAGTCGTCCTCCAATGGGAGAGTTGGGTGTTCGATTCCACCAGCAGTCACATGCTGAAGTGTCCCTGGGTAAGACACTGAACCCCTCATTGCCTCCTATGTGTGTCCCATCGATGTATGAATGTGATCTAAAGCACTTATTAGTCTTGTAGAGATAAAGTAGAGGGCTGTAAGAATGGGTAAATGAGGGTAAAGATTGTAGTGTAAAGTGCTTTGAGTATTTGGATAAGATACTGTAGAAGGATGCTATAGAAGTGCAGTCCATTTACCATGTCTGGAACAAACCTAATATCTCTAACAATGAGAACATCATTTCTACAGGGAAACATGATGGTGGCAGCATCATGTTGTGGGGATGTTTTCGATCAAAGATTAAAGCAAATATAGAGATATTCTTGAAAGGAACTTGTTAGATTCTTCTTGAGGTTTGAGACTTGGACATAGGTTGACCATACTCCAGAAAAATGACCCTGAACACTGTTGAAACAATCCAATGGCTTAAAGAGAACCAACTAAATGTCTCAAAATGACCTAGACCTCAGTCCAATGGCAAATCTTTGGCGTGATTTAAAGATTGCTTTTCACAACCAGTGCTAATCCAAGTAGAAGAAGCTGGATCACTTTGGCGGCTGAGGCTGAGTGGTTAGAGCAGTCGTCCTCCAATACAAGAGTTTATGGTTCAAATCCACCAACAGTCACATGCCGAAGTGTCCCTGGGCAAGACACTGAACCCCTCATTGCCTTCGATGTGTGTCCCATCGGTGTATGAATGTGATAAAGCACTGATTAGTCTCTTTAGAATGATTTGTTCAATTAGCATTGTATAGATCTAGTAGAGTGCTGTATGAATGGGTAAATGAGGACACAGATTGTAGTGTAAAGGGCTTTGTGTAGAAATGATAGAAAGGCACTTTATAAGTACAGTCCATTTACCAAAAAGTTCCAGTGTTTAATTGAGCTAAGCTAGTAGAGATCTACTTGAAAAGACTTGGTGCAGCATCTGCTGCAGAAAGTGGCTCTACAAAGTCTTCACCTTGGAAGAATGAACACATCCTCCCACTGTACATTGGATGCCCATCTTATCTAAAGTAAAGCCAACGAAAACCTTTTTGGCAGCTCTTTTTCCAACAACAACAAAATTCCACACAGCAATATTGGTTCCCCTTGCCTGTAACTGACTGTTCATTTGTTTGAAGTGCACCAGCTTCAAGTTTCTCAATGTCTCCCATTGGGATGCAAAGAGGGGAGATTGGAACTACCCTTTGTCCATCTGTCCATGTTGTGAGCATAACTTGAAAAATAATCGAGGTTCCAACTTCCATTTTGGTGTGTGGCTGAATAAGAAGGTCTCTATTGAAAATTGGGCTGCCAAGTCAAAGTCTAAGATGGCGACCACCATATGTGTAAACCAACCACCCCCTATCATTTGAGGGAACTATGAGTTCTAGTTTTTGTAATGCTTAAAAGTATATCCATCCATCCATTATTTTTTCCCGCTTATTCTTTTTCGGGTTGCAGGGGTCACTGGTGCCCATGTCCAGCCATCACTATGCAAGAGGCAGGGACACCCTGGACAGGTCTCCAGTCCATCACAGGGATACATAGAGACAACCATTCACTTTCTCTTTCACACCTAGGAACAATTTAGAGTTACCAGTCAGCCTAACATGCATGTTTTTGGTCTGTGGGAGGTAACTGAAATACCCGGGGAAAATCCTCGCATGCACGGAGAGAACATGCAAATTCCACCCAGAAAGGCCTCCGGGCCGGGGTTTGATCCGGGGTGACCTGCTCGCTGAGAGGTGGCAGCTCTGCCAACTGCGCCACCATGCTGCCCGCTTAAAAGTATAGTTTCCTCAAATGTTGGAGGTGGCTGAAGATTAATCTATGGTGGCCATGGCCACCACTGACCACCCCCTAGTTCCTCCATTGCTCCTGGTCATGAAAGAAATTGCTCCGTCCACTTGCCAAGGTCCGTTACTCTGTGCTGCCTGGGACAAGCAAAAATTAACTTAACTACCCACTTTAATATATTGCACCAAAAACCTGTTCAATTCCCTTCCAGAAAAACACTCATCTCAAAAACTAAATTCACTATTTAGATCTTATTCCGCTCATTTTATTATTTGAATCAAATTTAGGTATGTAGACTCCTAATCAGGTGATATTATGACTATCTCAAACCTACAGATCTAAGCAGGTGTGGCTATAAATATGGCTTTCTTACTATCGCTGCAGGTTCAGTCCTTATTTTGCTATTCTAAAAAGTTATAGAAATTGTTGCCTAGCAACAGCAGGAAAAGAACTGGAATGAAGCTTTTTATGTTTAAAAAAAAAAAAAACCATCTTGTCGAATTAGTGTGGATAAATGTGGCCTTAATGTCTAATTAAGGTTGACTTCACCGTTTGTTTCTGTCTGTGTGAGCTCTGTGCAGAAAGGCACAAGAATAAAGTCTATTAGCATGCCTTTGTCTCTGATGATTACCTTTTCATGTTGCAGATTGGATGGTTTCCCTCAACCTACGTGGATGAAGAAGGAGCACAGTGAGAGCCAGACTCGGATGGCCCAGTTCCTTTGAAATCAGGAACGACCTTCTACCTGCTGTTCTCAGACGTATTGACTCCACGAACACAAGGAGGAACAGAAAAAGAAACATTTTCTCTTGCCTTTGCTGGAAACAAACTTTTTTTTACTATGTTTCTTTGATTCTAATTTTTCCAATTTTTTAAATTATGCTTCAGCTTTTTTTTTTTTTTTTTTTGCTATATGTTATAAGTTTAATTTCTGTACAGCAAAGGGAAAAATACTGTTGCTGTTTGTCCACCTCTGTGTTGCTCTGCAGGGACTTTGTTCAGATTAGGACACAGCAGAAACTCACTGTCAATAGCTTTATTTTAAAAACTGCTTCCCCTTGTTGCAGATCTGTGCAAGCAAATTAACTGTACAGTAAAGATAATTTATTGAATAGAGATTATTATCACTAATGCTTATTGTGAGAAAGTTGGTTTAAGCAAAGAAGCAAATCAGACAAACAAAAAAAAAAAAGGATGCTTTGTTTTTATGTCAGGAGATTTTTTTTGCCTTAGTTGTCATGGTGATGCCTTGTGGGCTGACACCAGTGGATGGAATCGACTTCGTGGACCGGTTTTACTTCTCCGTGTATGCATGTGCTCGTGTGCGGCCCACGTTAACACACCCACACACACGCACAAACCAATGTACAGAACGGTGCCTTTGAAAAACTGGTCGTTGCTCAACGAACCTCAGTAAAGAACCTCGCCATTTTCAGAATCCAACCTTATCCACGTGCAGGACTTTACTGACAAGGGGGGGAGGGGCACTGATACAACAGGACGGGAACGGCTGTTTGTGAACAACCCTCCTGGCATGAGAACTGGGTGGACTCACTGAGACGAGAACATCTGTTCGCTGTTCACATCCAAGCATCTGGATGCAGAAGGGAAACACTGAGACTCCAAAAGGCCACATTTTTCTAAACTGTTTGTTGTTTCTTGCACAGAATCACACAGAAGTTTTGATTTCTTGGCATTACCCCGAAGCCAGATCCAGCCACGTTACAGCGTCTGCATGAGGTTCAGTCGGTCATGATTTTTCTACTTTGCCTTATTTTATTTTTTTTTACAGTTCATCCGATGATGTCTTTTAGGGATGCACGATATTATCAGCATCGTATCGGTATCCACCGATATTGGCGATAAAGTTAAATATCGGACATCGCCATTCCATCAAAATAACTCGCCAATATAAAACGTGCTGTTTTATA